CGGGCTTGGGACCGGCAGTAGCCCAAGAAGGGCTCCAGGCAGAGTTTTGTTTACATTTAATAATCCTTTTATCAGGAAAGGAAGAATTGGATGGAACTAGAAAAGAAGGCCCAGGACAGAGTGGGTTGGAGAATGCTGGTCGGCGGCCTATGCTCCATTGGGAGTAACAGGTGTAAGTAAGTAAGTAAGTAAGTTGTCAGGAAAGAATTTAAATCTTTGATTTGAAATTTACTAATTTGACTCTTCTGAATTTCATTCATTTCATTTCTCTATTTTCGCCTGTTACCTCCAATGGAGCATAGGTCACCAACCAGCACTCTGCGACCCACTCTGTCCTCAGCCTTCCTGTTTAGTTCTATCCACTTGTTGTTTATTATCCTCATATCTGTCTCCATTTCTCAGTCTAATGTGTTCTTTTGTCTTCCTCTTCTCCTTTATTTAGCATTGAGGATTCAAAGTGAGGACTTGCCTTGTGACGCAGTTGAGTGCTTTCCTCAATATGTGTCCTATCCACTTCCAGAGCTTCTTCCCGATTTCTTTCTCCACTGGAATCTGATTTTTCCTCTCCCACAGATTGTTTCTGATGGTGCCTGGCTAACGGATCTGAAGTATTTTTCATAGACAACTGTTCTGAATTTACATAGAGATTATTGAACGCTTTACGTTACTTCAGTATTGTCGTGACTTTTACTTAAATATTATTGAAGTACTTGAAAAATGCTTTGACAAACTAACGATAATTAAAATTTATAGATGAAGTGTTATGATTGAATGTAAGATTTCTTGACTTATATATTCAATTTTTATGATGAATGACATCAGTGAATGTTTGTAAGGAGATATCAGATAAGTCTCATTTAAACTGTAATAGTGTAGTGTGTGCTACTATGTCGACAGATAGAAGTAGTATGTATCATCAGTGGAAAGTGAAATGTTTGGTGCCTGAAAGTTAACAAGATCGAAGAAAATAGAGAATGATTGTTGTGGAAACAAAGGAACTACAACAGTACTCTGTTCTTTCGTTTATCTTGTATCATCTAACTGAGTAGGTTGTATTTTTGTTGTAGACTAATATTGTCATATGGTTACGACTAATTGTTAAACCAAACTGACATAATGAAAACTGTTAACTTATACAGGAAACGTTATTAAGTCTGTTGAAAAATGTGTTTTTCCTAAGTTCATTCTATTGAATTAATTATATTAAGTATTAGGGATTGGTTTCAAAGAATAATAGATATTCCCTTAAAGGATTTGAATGGCTTGGAATCTACGTCTTTACAAAATACACGAAATTGAACGACACATCCACCATTGTCATTAACAAGTTATCTCACTACACACTCGAATGAACGCTGATACGTCGTGGGTTCAAATCTTGCGAGGTGGGGTCGTGGATACGCACTGCTTAGGAGTCCAACAATGGGATGAAACTGCCCTCCAGTGTTTCCACGTTTTCCATGGTAGTCTAACTTCAATTGAATCATGAGCTCCACTATTGAAATTACTACAATCTCCACAAAACCTTTTCTGAGAATAAATACAGGTAATGCGACTAACAAAATAAATCACATTCTCTTAGTATGCAAGATAAACTGTTCCCATTGAAGCTTTACAGACTCCTTTGAGCAATGTAAAAACAAATATAGAAAAAAAGCGAATCCCTGGAAATACTTGATTAAATCTTAGTCGACAGAAGAGATAGTGATCTATGAAATTATTAAAATATGTATATACTACTAGTCAGTTAAAGGAGTGCTATGGGGACTTTTTAAACTGCAAAATCGTGCATGGAGGACAATTGACAGACTCGTTCGAAGTAAAGACCGGTGTCAGACAAGGTTGCTTACTCTCACCCTTTCTCTTTCTCCTGGTGATCGACTGGATCATGAAGTCGTCAACATCTGAAGGGAAGCACGGGATACAGTGGACATCTAGGATGCAGGTAGACGATCTAGACTTCGCAGATGATCTGGCCCTTCTATCCCAAACGCAACAACAGATGCAGGAGAAGACGACCAGTGTAGCTGCAGCCTCAGCAGCAGTAGGTCTCAATATACACAAAGGGATTAGCAAGATTCTACTACACAACACAGCATGCAACAATCCAATCACAATTGACGGAGAAGATTTGGAAGATGTAAAAACCTTTACGTATTTGGGCAGCATCATTGATGAACAGGGTGGATCTGATGCAGATGTGAAGGTGCGGATCGGCAAAGTAAGAGCAGCACATTTACAAGTGAAGAACATCTGGAACTCAAAACAACTGTCAACTAACACCAAGGTCAGGATTTTCAATACAAATATCAAGACGGTTCTACTGTATGAGGTGGAAACCTGGAGAACTACGAAAGCCTCATCCAGAACATACAGGTGTTTATTAACAGTTGTCTACACAAAATACTTTGAATCCGTTGGCCAGACACTATTAGCAACAACCTACTTACCATGGGAGAGAACAAACCAGATCCCAGAGGAGGAAGAAATGAGGAAGAAGCTCTGGAAGTGGATAGAACAAAATGCACCACGGAGCAAGCCCTCATATGGAGTACTCAAGTGAAAGGAGAGGAGGAAGACCAAAGAACACATTACGCCGGGAAATGGAGATAGACATGATAAAAGTGAACAAGAATTGGATGGAATTAGAAAGGAAGGCTGAGGACACAGTGGGTTGGAGAATGCTGGTCGGCGGCCTATGCTCCATTAGGAGCAACAGTAAATAAGTAAGTTAAAGGAAAATGAAATAAACACAATCTTGGAAATTAATAAAAACAAAGAAATAGAGTCATTCAGATGAAGTTGATAGCTCCATCAGGTTTAATTTATTCATGCATCAACACCAATGAAATCCATTCGCCACAATCCCAATGTCATCAACTACACTATACACTTCACTTCACAAATACCTGTTGGTCCATATGCGTACGACTCTATGTGCAATTCAACACTGAAGAGTTGTAAATATTATCGTGTTAGTGTTTATTGTCATGGTTTTGGTGGTATTGATATTAATAGTGGTAATGGTTGTGTTATTGTGTAGGTGACAGTGAGTCGACGATTTAGCGCAGATGTACGTGTCTGCGTGTGCACTGAGAGATGTGTGTATAGATACAGTGTTGTGAGTAATAATGCAATAAATAGTTGTATTTCGAATTAAGTAGTATGAAGTGTGTTATTTGTGTGTAGTAGACTTCAAGTGATTTTTGAATGGAGACAAAGAAATAGAGTGATTCAAATGGAGTTGATGGCTTTATCAGATTTAATTGAGAAATGATGTTACTATGAATATGTTGACATTTTCATGTTTTATTCATAGAACGATAAAATTAATCGTATAACCTATTCAGATGTGTTTCTCAAAAGTGTACAACTTTACGTTGTACAAATTATAAAAGAGCCTAATCAGAGATATTGTGATTGCTGTTACTATGCAGCGAAAAGCATGAACATTATTCAGACTATCGATTGATTGAACTGGTAATATCTCAGTCAGTCAGTTGCAACGTAGGACTGCTAACTTCTAGCTAACAATCACTCAGTATCTCATCTTCAGGATCGATCAAGGAATAAGAAACAGAAACTTGTTGAAATACTTTGTGCTGTGAATTCTAAATTGTACCAAAACTATAGTACTGAAAGAAGCCACCAATAATAATAATAATATATCTCTGTTAGGAATGCTAGATTAACTACTTAACAGAATTCCTGCTCATTTATGTTTCAATCAAAATCAAAGATGACATTTTTAAAGTATAAAGAGATTCGTTTAGTTATATGTTGATTGTGACCATCTTCTAAGATTAACTTTCTATTTCATAGTCCAATTTCACTTGTGAACACATAAAGTTGAATTCTATACAAAGATGGATAGTGGCTAGCAGTGGAATCAAGGATGAGCATTTCGTACTATCTAGGACTCTTCAGCTGGATGTACCTGCATCAGCAGAGTTGACGTTAACTCTGAGGTTAGAACCCGCCATCGCGTTATCCACTTTAGCTACTAAATCCTATTTATCGAGGCTATATCAGGGCAATACGCACAATATGCACATATGCCAATAAGAGACTGATCAACTGCAGTCCTAAACATTAATAGGAAGATTCAAACAAACAATTCCAAGTGTATATAAAGTTGAATTGTTTTTACTGCCTTAATTCTAAAAACATATCAAAGTTTATAACTATTATTATGATGACTATGGCCTAAGCTCAGTTTATTCCGCTTAATCCTTTATGAATCAATATAAATATCATTTATAAAATTATTAAAGTTTACCTTGAAACAATGGACAGATATTCCATGCAGCAATAACTCCACGACGTGTTAATTGTCCAACAGTTACTTCTAATAGAAATAATGGTATACCAGCTAAGAATACACTGATGAAATAAGGGATAAGGAAAGCACCTGAGCAAAACCAGAATATAATGGGAAATAGAATCAAGTTCATTTTCTTTAAAATAACTTTTGAATGAATATTATAACTTATTCATTTCTAGAAACTAAGAGTTCATTTAACTGTCATAAAATTATTTAAAATTTACTAATATTGAGTGTGTGCTACTGATGTCGATAGATATAAGTAGTATGTATCATCAATAGATAGTGTAATGCCTGGTGGTAGAACGTTAAGAAGATCGAAGAGAAGAGAACGAGAACAAGGAATGATTGGTGTGGAAACGAAGGAACAATGAAGTGTTAGACAATTGAATGACATTTTGCAAATTAGGAATTTACTGTGAAGCACCCAACTGAGTCACAAGACAAGTCCTCTGTTACAACTTGTTACCGCCGATTAGAGAGCAGTGACTTATCAATCGGAACAATGACGCGTAAACCCGTATGAGCAGCCTAGAATTCTGATTGGTCCTGCTTTCCGCTTAGCCCAACCAGTTAAGCCCGGAACACCAGTCTCAGCCTCTGCAATATGAACCCTTATATTTCGAACATTCTGAGTTTATATACCAATCAAACAGACCACAACGTACCAATAAAATATGAAATAACATTTGTACAAGAATTAGCCAGATGTGGCTGTGAATGAACGAGGTAGTAATTAATATCCTGAGTATCGATGTCTGTTGTCTATCCAAGACCCGTATTCAAGACTCTGGTAAAGTACTACAAATTCGCTCTACATCTATCGTTTCGAAAAGCTTGTTTTACGTGCGCTTATCTGGGGACCCTGTGGCATCTTCGTCTGGTCTTGCTGGCGTTGGTGTTGCACTAAGCGCTAGAGCTGAGGCACCACTAATCGATTGGATCCCCATTAACAGTCGGTTATGTGCTGTTAGATTAGAAAGTTCCATCAAAGTGAGAAGAAATCGGCGTGATAAACGATGTCTTTTCGTCATCTCCGCCTATGCCTCGACAGATTGCAGCCCGGATGCAATCAAGGATGAGTTTCACCACCAGTTATCTGTCCTTCTCCAGAAAGTGCGTTCGACAGATATTGTAGTACTAGCCGGAGACTTGAATGCTCAGGTCGGGCTTCTAGGCACAGAAGAGAGTCGTTTAGGTGGTCGATGGGGACTCGTTGGTCGCAGGTCAGATAACGGGGACCGTCTACTGCAACTGTGCACAGACCACAACCTGTTACTGGCTAGCACTAACTTTCGGCACAGTCATCGCCGATGTGCCACCTGGCGTCCTCCCTCTGCATCTCAAGCCTGGACTCAGATTGATCACATCGCGATCAGCTACCGCTGGCGTGGTTGTGTACAAGACTGCCGCTCCTTTTGGAGTACCTATCTGGACTCTGACCATGCCTTGGTCTGCGCCAATCTTGCCTTACTTTTCAGTGGCCAACGAAGTGACCACCACCAAAAGATTGATGTTAGCAAGCTGGTTGCAACTTCTGTTGCAAGTAAGTATCGAACCGAGCTAGCCTCTATGCTAGCTACCACTCCACCGAAAAGCATAGATGAGCATTGGTTGCAATTGCATGACGCCATGAAAATGGCGGGAACAGTCAGTTGTGGGTTTGCGAAACGTCCCGCTTTTAAGCACTGGGTTTCTGCAGGTTCCTTACAACTCATTGAAGCCCGTCGGTCTACTCCGGGTGACCGTGAGTTTGACCATAAACGAAGGATGTTACGTACTGAAATTGGGCAAAGCTTGCGTAAGGACCGAGAAGCCTGGTGGTCGATGCGTGCTAATGAGCTGGAAGCAGCAGCTGCATCTGGTAACTACCGGAAGCTCTTCCAGCTCATCCGAGCCACTGGCAGCAAGAAGTCTGGTGTGAGTGAAACAATCTGCGAGGATGATGGGATGCCAATCACTAACATCCATCGACGTCTTGGACGATGGGCAGAATTTTTCGAAGGGCAGTTCAACTGGCCTGCTGCTCCGGCAACATCGGTCAGACTGTCCTGCCCTCCATGGCCGGTGACGACTGATCCACCAAATGAGGAGGAAGTCCGCAAGGAACTCCAACTCTTGAAGCGTTACAAATCACCTGGCCCAGATGACTTACCTCCGGCTCTTTTTAAAGATGGTGGTGACTTTTTGACTAAGGAATTGACGACGTTGTTTACAAAGGTTTGGGAACTAGAGAGTGTACCAACGTCATGGAATGAGTCGATAGTTGTCCCTATCTTTAAAAAGGGTTCACGTCGTTCTTGTAACAACTATCGGGGGATAAGTTTACTTCCGATTGCGTCCAAGCTATTGGCTTCCGTCATTCTTCGTAGGTTGTTCAAAACCCGAGAAAGATTGACTCGCGAGGAGCAGGCTGGGTTTCGTTCTGGTCAAGGATGTATTGATCATATCTTCACCCTCCGCCAAATGTTAGAACACCGTCATACTTATCAAAGGTCAACAATCGTAGTGTTTCTTGACATCAAAGCTGCCTTCGATTCGTTGGACAGGACTGTTCTCTGGGATTGTCTATTGAAGAAGGGTGTGCCTGAGAAGTTTATTAACATCCTAAAAGCCCTGTATAAAAACACCTCAGGCAGAGTGAGGGCATACAACCACCTCTCTCCATTGTTCCATTCGAGCAGTGGTGTTAGACAGGGTTGCCCAATCTCACCATTCCTCTTCAACTTTGCCATCGATGACATTCTGGAAACAGCTCTGATGGATGTAAGTAATGATGGTGTGGATCTGTTGCCTGGAGAATGACTTATCGACCTTCAGTACGCGGATGATATTGCCTTACAGTGTGACAATGCCCAAGGCATGCAATCCACATTTACTCAGTTGACAATCAGCGTCCGTAAGTATGGGTATGTGCTTTGCACCTTCGAAGTGCAAAGTACTTCTACAAGACTGGCAGGATTCTTATCCTGTACACACACTGGATGGTGAGCAGATAGACGTAGTCGAGAAGTTCGTGTATCTGGGTAGCTGCATAAGTGCTGGTGGGGGTGTGAGTGATGAGATCAATGCACGAATAGTGAAAGCCAGAGCGGCTTATGCCAATTTGGGCCACCTTTGGCGCCTTCGTGATGTTAGTCTGGCTGTAAAAGGTCGGATCTACAACGCGTCGGTGAGAGAAGTGCTGCTCTATGCCAGTGAAACCTGGCCTCTCCGAGTTGAGGACGTTGACTCTCTGTGTTCGATCATCGCTGTCTCCGAAGGATCGCTGACATCCAGTGGCAACACCATGTTAGTAATGCAGAGGTTCAGCATCGTGTGTTCGGGCGCAGAGACGATAATCCAATTGGTGTCACCATCTTGAAACATCGACTTCGGTGGCTTGGACATGTTCTACGAATGTCGTCCCAGAGAATTCCACGTCGTGCATTATTTTCCGACTCTGGGACTGGTTGGAAGAAGCGGAGAGGTGGTCAGTGTATGACATGGTGTCGTGGTATGAAAAAGAGTTGTAAGGGGCTGGCTTGTGTTGGTCTTTCTCGACTCCCTGGTTGGGGTCCGAGAGATGGTGCAACACAGTGGCTAGAGACGTTATCAAATATGGCTCAGAATAGAAGCCAATGGCGATCCTGCTGTAACCTTCTTTTACTTTCTTCACAAAAAGTGGTTGTGTCTCCCTTACCTAAAAGATTTCTTCTGATTGCACCTTTCCGTTCCCTCATTACTATCGCACTACCTTACACCAATTTCTTCGTTATTGTTCTCTTTTCCTTTTGCGCTCCTTAGTTTTTTTTTCTACTTCTCTTCGAATTCTCATTGTTTTGTGTGGCGCATATATATTGGCGTTCTCTTGTACCAATATTTATGTGTTCAAGTAAATAAATAATAAACAAATAATAATACTGGGTATAACTCAAGAATGGTAAAACGTATAATAATAGTTTCTGGGTCAAAATAAAGTTTATAATAAGAGGAATATGAATATGCATAGTTTAGTTACCTAATAATTATACAATAGAAATATGCGTTTAGTATTGGTCCATTAATAGATCCCAAAATTACCATTCATCATTCTTGTCGGGACATAACATCCTCACAGATTTGCACAGATATGCATCGGTTCAAGTTGCCATACCTCATTAGAACAACAAGATGAACACCAGATTCATAGAGGTAGTCACTTCAATGATAGTAATATATAAAAGAAAGTTAGCATATTAGGATATAATACAGAAAGGAAAACAACAAACTAGAATACATATTCATACAGCATATGAATAGGCATATATGATTTCACAATCATTATTCTTATGTTTCAGCTGTTTACATGGTTATATTCTTATCAACTCGTAGTCTTTTATAACTTGCTCACAGTCGAACGTATTGTTTTTTAAACTGATTGGACAGTTAAACTTAGATCACATTAGTTATAAAACATGTTCACAACACAGTGCCGTAACATTCACTCAAGTATATGTTCCAAACAATCTCTCACTATGTATGACTAATACAGTAATTCATAAAGGAAGCTGAACTCATCAGATGCTTATTAACTACTTTGAGATGTTTAAAACTTGAAAGGCTTAATATCAATCACATTAGATTTTAAAACTACAACTACATGTCCACTATCAACCAGATGATTAGAAACCATACTACTTTAAATGAAATGCAGTTTTAGTGTGAAGTTTTATAGAATAATTTTGGACATATGAATGTGTAAGGTGGTAGTTGGAAAAAGTCTACAAAAATCCCTGCACTTAAGTTATGTGCTACTCGTCAGTCAAAGTGTATATATTGTCTTGATGGGACTGATGTTCCCGCTAACCAGCACTTTATATCACAACATAGTGCATGCGATAATGGTTAAATTGCAACTTGATCAATAAAATGTGATGAGCACTAAAATGAATTTTTTCCATACATGGCATTGTTTGCTACTCAGAAACCGATAAATAGTAAAACTATGAATATGTGATAATCATATAATTATTCGATCTAATCACTTTCAGTATTCATTTATTTTAACACATAGATATTGGTACAAAGAGGCATCAAATACATATGTGCCACACAAATCTCATTTGATAAATGTGAAGGCTGTGATACTGTATGGGTGCCCAGACCGAAGCAGGTGATTTACTTTGGGAGTCACACCCCGAGCCTTTGACCTAAAGGTCTAACCCACAAGGCAGTGGAGCATCGTGGAGAGATGTAGTCCCATGGTAGCCGGTGACCAACGATTGGTTCATGCGCCATTTGTTCCTTCAGGATACTGGAGCCCATGAGCACCATTGGTTTGGGATCCGGTTACAACTTCGGACATTCGCTTTTCGTTCTCTCATTTTCGTAAACAACACCCCCGCCACGAGAAGGCAGTGAGTAGGACTTCCCTGGCAGAGGCTATATACGCGTGGCCGTGTGAGAGCGTTTCGAAAGAGTGAATGGACTCTCCTGACTCACGGCCGTACCAGGGCGTTTTGAGGCATCACTTTCAGTAATTCCGTTCAACACATGAAAGCGACCAGATGATCATATATAGCATCTAATTGCCCTGATACGGCCGAGAGTGAGGAGAGTTAGCTCTCCCTTGAAAAATGCCCTCACATGGCCACGTGCATACAACTACTGCCATGTCATTACTGTTCTTTGCCAAATTGAGATGACAGAAAGCGAATATTAGGCACTTTAACCGGGTTGTTGGACACGGAGTGTCCACCTAGGGTAGTTGGAAATCCCTAATTCCAAAACAATGGTGTACATGGGCTACAAGATCCTGAGGGAACAAATGGAGTCTGAAACAATCGTTGGTGACTGGCCTCCATGTGACCGCGTCTCCTTACGTTGCTCTACTGCCTTGTAGATTAGATTTTTAGGTCAAAGGATTCGGTTGTGGCTCCTTAAGAAAACAACCTGTTTCGGTTTAGGCACCTGGATAGTACCACATCCCTCACGCAAATCGAATGAGTTATCTGGCGCATATCTATTTGGTGAACCTTTTTATCAATATTTCTGGGTTTCAGTAAATAAATAAAGATCATGTATAACTAATTTTAGAAACGAATAATCTATGGGTTGGTGAATGCTGGTCGGGGTGCCTATGCTCCATTGAGAGTAACCGGAATAAATAAGTAAGTAATTTGTGAGATAAAATTAACACATTTTTCAAGAGAAAAAATAATATCAAAATGGGTTTTGTGGAGATTTTTAGAAATTTCACTGGTTGAAATCATGAGTGAATTGAAGCTAGACCACCATAGAAAACCTGGAAGCACTTGACGGACTCCTCAGCAGTGCGCATCCATGATTTCAACCAGTGAAATTTCTAAAAAATCTCCACAAAACCCATTCTGATAATGATAATCACCTGCTAACTAGCGACTGACTTCAAGAGATACTCCTGGAGTTCTAGTGAGAAGTCCTTACTAGTGGAGTTCGACCAGGTCTGTTATGAGATATCAACTCACTAAAGACATTGGTGTACGGTGGCGCAACTTCGTGGATTGGTTGAAGTTAGACATTAACACCGTTGAATGCTAGCTCAATGGTCTAGTTGGTTAAGCGCCTGGTGCAAGACTGATTGGTCGTGTGTTTGAATGTCGCGGGGTGCGGGATCGTGGGTGCACACTTCTGAGGAGTCACATACTAGGACGAGAAGGCCGTCCAGTGCTTGCAGGTTTTCCATGGTGTACTATCTTCAATTGATTCATGATTTCAACCAGTGAAAAAAATAATATATGAACTCACCGCCACCATTTTTATAACATAAATATGGAAATCTCCATACATTACCAAGTCCAATTGAAAATCCTAAACATGCAATAAGGAAATCAATTTTTCCTTTCCAATAATCTCGTTTAATTAATTTTTCTTCTGTTATATGATTTGAAAGTTTATCAACTATTTCAATAGATTGTACCTCTAATGTATATAGTTCATTAGGATTATGATTATAATGATGATTATCCATTGATAGATGTTCACAAGATGACATAATTAATTGTTGTTAAGAGGATTTCTAGAAGTTTACATTCATTTCTATTTAGATAATTCGATCAAATTTGATGTATGCTGAAGTAAAGAAGCCTCTTTTTTTGTTTTTTTTTTGATTGTTGAAAGAAAAAAAGAAAAAAAAATCAAACATGAGCGAATATTTTTCGATTAGAAACAAAATGTTTATATATGTCTATCATACAACACTTACACCACCACCACCACCACCAACATCACCACCACCACAACAACAACAACCAAAGAAAAAATCAATAAACATGGTAATGTCATGTTATGCAATAGATATTAACCAATTAAATCATAACTAATTAACTAACTTCTTAGCTCAGTAACCAGTAGAAGTTATCATTATTAATTATTATTGACTAATAACATTCATCAAGTGATAATATTGTTTCTATGTACAGACCCATATCTATATAGAATGTTAATGAAGCTGATCATTAAAATATGAAATTAAAAGGGATTATATTTCTCCTTAGCTTAGTTTTCATTTCTAGTTGACCGAATGTCAGTGATATACTGTCTAACCATTAATTTCGATTGACTTCTATCGATTGAATTGTTATGTAATGATTGAATTCAATGACCTAACCTTATAGTTTATTTGATTTGTTCTCTGATAATTGAATGATCGATTGACTTTTATATATATTAATGATTATATAACATTTGTTATCATCCAATGATTATTAAATGGATGTATATGTATATCAGTCATACAGAAGATCAATCATTACATAAACACCTCACTGGGAATGTTTCCAAGTGTGAAATGGTAACTACAAACAAAATACTTTCTTTAAGTTAAGATAAATTTGTCAACAAATTACTTCGATGATCCATGGTTCATGACATTCCCATCTTATAGGTGCTTTTTGTAGTTGTTTGGCTATCATCAGTGCAACTCCTTATATCTGTACAGCATTTTTTACCTCAAAGCCGGAGTAATATAGAAGCTCTCCCGAAGCTCGTCTTTTTTTTTCAATCTGCATTCAATGTGATTCACTTATTTCAAGCAACTCCAGGTTGTAGTTTTTCATATCTGCAGCAACTTGGATGAATCTCTCGGTCTCCAACTTTGTACGAAAGTTCTATGTACAAAAATTATTGGTTTCTCTGGTTGTCAGTAGGGGCATCAGACTCGTGACTTCTGAAGGAACTTAGCTTTCATTATGCGACGTCATAACTTTTCTAAATGAAGAGTTTAAATGGTTCGAATTATTTTTTTCTGGTTAACGTTTTTTAGTGAGTCAGTTTTCTACGGGATGGGGTCGCTAACCCTATACTCAACCTTCCCCTTTTATCTGGGCTTGGGACCGGCAATAGCCCCAGAGGGACTTTAGGCGGAGTTTTGACATCACAGTTGATACAAATTATTTTGTAGATGATATCGGACTTGTCTTATTCCGCTCTTGTATCTTTTGGTTTACATGAAATGGATTGGAATCACTGTTTCGGTTTTTGAGTGACAATGATCTCAAAGCCTTTTTAAAATCTTTGTAAAATTTCCACAGTTGTTTTCACAGATGGTAGGTTCATCCTTTTCCTAGTTCCTGAGGTTGATATAGTGATAGAAGTTTTAGCTACAAGAAACGTTTTGATAAAGGTTCTCGGATAATCATTTATACGGAGGACAGACAGAAATGTTCTTCTACAATTTTATGCACAGTGAGAGTGCTGCGATGTGTTACGGCTCGTTTACATGGTGTCTGCATAAAAATCTTTTTGTCTACTGTTTGGTTGTCTCTGTTGTAATTTAGTATTTGATCACTATTGCTTGGTCACCAGAACAGACTGATTTACGACTAATGGAATGACTAAGAACCTCACTTCTACATAAAGTAGGCACGGATGATACTGTCCACTACGGCAGTAAAAGCTCTGCAGACAAACCCAGCTCGGAAGAATCACCGATGCCAAAGTCTGTAATTGCATATTAGCACTCATGTTCACATGAAGACTATGAACTACGGTCCATAAATTCGACATCATTTCTAGTTTCTCTAGTTACACGGATAAATTAGTTATCATTAAATGCATGAGCCATAGTCAGACTACACCAAGTATTAGCTGGATTGTGTCATTACAAGACAGTTCGAACTCGACTGAATGGCTCAACCATAACTTACTTGTCTGAGAAATGGAGGTGTTGTAGGGGATATTAGATCTCCAGAAATCACTTGATAAACGTCTCATTTTTGTAATTTTATTTTGAAGACTTCAATTTCTCACTTTCGCACCGAAAGAGCACACTTTTACCTTCAGTTTGTACTTCCCAGTCATTGGTTCGTTTCCTCTTTAAATGTGTTACTTTGTGACGTTCTCCAAGGAGATTTTTGCACTGTATATATATACTCATGACTTGTGTGCTTGTTCGTTCGTGCTTAGGGAATATACATTTCTCGTGAATGAATCTGTTCTTCTCCATCTAGTTGGGAGTGCTGGGGGCCAGCGGAATAGTTTAGCTCGTCCTGTTGCTGTGTTGTCGACTTTTTTTTCGATCTCCTGATTTCGGTGATATCATAATCCTTCCAGAGGTAGCAGATGTACTCTTGAAAAGATTCGAAATCTACCGCTGAGTAATCCCGTATTCTCTACCACCTCCTCTTGCTTCTGGTGGTCGACTAAATTATGAAGACCACGACATTTGACGAAAAGCATGGAATAAAATGGACAGTTCGGGATCAATTAGAAGATTTGGACTTTTTAGATGACCTGGCTCCTTTATCCCGTACACATCAAATGTAGGTCAACACAATCATTGTAGCAGAATTCTCTGCATCAGTGGGTTTCAACATCCCTCATTACAACTCACAGAACACCAACAAACTCAAACACATTTCATGGGGAAAATCAGGAATAGGTGGAAACTCTCACGAATCTGGACAGCAGAATCATCGATGAACAAAGAAGATCTGATGCAAACGTAAAATCTAGGACTGGAATAGTAATCACAACATTCATACAAATGAACAACATATTCAACTGAAAACAACTGTCTGTAAGCCAACATCAAGTCATAATCTTCAATACAAACATCAAAACAGTCCTATTGTACAGAGTTGAAACTTCGAGAACAACCACAATAATCATTTGAGACCCAATTAAACTTCCTTATTTAACCAGAATTATTTAATTTACAGATTCACAAATAGCATTCATATTTACTGATTTTTGTCTTATTGAGTAATATAAAACTACTTGAAGTCCATTTGCACGTATCTAACCACTTTCTTGTTTTGTTTGTTTTGAACCAACGTTTACTTAATCTATAATTTAAGATATAAAACATTAATTATAAGAGTATTACTTAATGTATAAAGAAGAAAGTTCAGGCGTTCTATTGTAGTAACTAAGCATCTTTCGTATTCATGTCTGATTAGTTCTTTTCTTAGCAAGATATTGTCTACGGTATAAAGTTGCTAACCTTATACCCAACCCTCCTCCTTTAATTGGGTATAGGATCAGTAATAATTCTAGAAGAGATACAAGGGGAGTTTTCATATTATTCATTTTGAATTTATGATTAAGGTTTGTTTTTCTTTAGTAAATAATACGTTCAATGTATTTCAACTGAAAGTACATTTTGTTTAATTCAAAACTACATTCAATGGTGTACAACTCTTGATTTATCTTTTCAATGGTTAAGATAATGAGTCAGTTGAAGCTAGACCACCATGGAAAACCTGGAAGCACTGGACGGCCGTTTCGTCCTATTGTGGGACTCCTCAGCAGTGCGCATCCACGACCTCGCCCCCTGCGAGATTCGAACCCAGGACCTACTGGTTTCGCATTCGAGCACTTAACCACTAGACCACTGATCCGGCATCCAACGGTGTTAATGTCTAACTTCAACTAATCCACGAAATTGAGCGACACATTCACCATTGTCTTCAGGGAGTTACTATCTCACAACAGACCTGGTTGAACACTGGTCACTACTTCTCACTAGAACTCCAGGATATACCTCGTGAAGCCAGTCACTAGTGAGCATATGTTGATTGATATCAGATGGGTTTTTGTGGAGATTGTAGTAGTGGAGTTCAACCGGGTCTTCCGTGAGATAGTAACTCACTGTAGACATTAGTGGACGATGTCTCAATTTCATTATTATTATTATTATTATTATTAATGACTTTATTCAAATTATATTTTGGTACAATATAGAATTCTCAGCATGGACTGGTTGAAGTTAGACATTATTACCGTTAGATGCTATCTCAGTGCTCTAGAGGTTAAATGCTCGCTCATGAGACCTCGGATCGTCAGTTCGAATCTCGTATGTGGGATTGTGGTTGTGCACTGCTTAAGTGTCCCATACTACGACGAAACGGTCGTCGAATGGGTCCAAGTTTTCCACGGTGATCTAGCTTTGATTGACTCATGAAATCAACTATTAAAAGTAGCGAATCTGTCAAAAAAATAAAAAAAGATTATGACTATCGTATTCAGTAATTTACAGATCGAAGCAAACATCAATTCAGTGTACATAAACCTTTCTTAACCAAATGGTTCCGTTTAAAAGTAAGATTAGTTATAATATTACATTTAATCAAAGATGTACATCAGTACTTCAGTTATACTATACCTAAAATATGTTAATTGTACTCGCTCAAACACCAGTGACTTACCATGATCTCTGTTGTCAATTAAATTTCTTTGATAGTAAATTATATACACACAATAAACTGTATGCTAATAATAAAAAGATTATTTATCCAATAGTTGAATTCATGAGTCAATTAAAGCTAGACCACCATGGAAAACCTAAAAGTACTGAGCGGCTGTTTCGTCCTAGTATAGGACTTTTCAGTAGTGCGCATCCACGATGCTGACTTGCGAGATTCGAACCCAGGATCTATCAGTCTCATGCTCGAACATTTAACCTCTAGACCATTGACCCGACATTATTTATTTATTTTGATTAGAATTTGATACAGATTATGTAATCATAATTTATATTTATTAAACGAATTAATGAAGATAATATCATGTGAAGGATCTTTATTTCTTCAACACAAAGACAATCAATCACATAAAGTTGTATATTTCAGTTGTAAGTTTACATATTGTTGTTCACAATCTGTTTCCATGTTGC